ATAAGCCGTCACCACCTGCCCCATGAACATGGTACTCGGCACCATCACCGCTCCGCACGCCACCGGGGCCGTGACAAGCTTTGTTACGAGCTGCTGACCTTGAGAAAATCTGATAAAGGAAAGAGTTGGGAAGTTCTTTAGGAGAAAAATAAAATCAAGTATCAGTTGCAGCTGATACTGCATTTAGTTTAACTAAAGTACTGAAAAAGATTTAGTTTAACAGCTTTGTCAATATACTGTACATTCAATTAAAAGAAGAAAGTCTAATTTCTTCAAAGTCACTTCTGGCATTTTTTAATATAACTATTTAAGCACATGACCACAGTAAGTCAACTGAGTATCAGCCTTCAAGATTTACCTGATCTGTCTGTCCTGTGTAAAAGTGGTTACTGCAGCAGCATTCTGGCTATTGTTCTGGGGTACACTTGAGGGAATCTGGACCACGTTTCCTGCTGTTGGCTGAGAAATCACCATAGTGTTATAGAGCGGGGCCGAGAGCGCACTCTGCGACTGACTGCCGAGAGATGGCTGTTGACTGTGCCCACCAGCTACACTTTGCTGATTATGCTGAAAATAAGAAGTATTTTACAAATTAGTCATTTGAAAATAGCTACAAATACACAAAAAGACATACCATTACGATGATAAAGTTTTATTCTGAAGTATCACTGTGGCATAATTTTATTCGCATGTCTAAAATCATAGACATTCATGTCCCTTCACTTTTTATCTATTCACTAATAGGAAGGACACACAAAGTTCTTACACCTAGAAAAGGTTCTTCGCCCCACCCTAAAACTGACACCATTAATTTTAAGCACAGTTATTTTTATAAAAGAGCTAAAAATATCAGCAGGTATTATAGCTGTTCTCCTTCACATTGCCCATACTTTACAACTGTAAATGTTTTCCTGTTACAAATGGACACCTAATTTAAAGCAAGACTGGTACTTCTACTGTTTGCTAATTTGGAAGGGGGACAGATCTGGATGTCTAAAAACCTGTTTAGGTGAACTTTTCCGTCCTCTTCAGAGATTGAAGTCAATCAGCAATTTAACACTAATGCTGAGTACACAGACCCTGCCACTGGTGAAACAATGTTATATGTTAAGGAAAGGGAAGAGTCCCACTGACAAAGTAACTACATTAAATAAAGCTAGAATCCTCATGGATTGAAATTCAGAAGGCATCTCTGTTGATAAACTGATAATAGTCTTTATACAGACTTGTTAAGTCTCAAGTAGTATATTTTTTTTCTAAAGGAGTAAAAAAAGAGCAAATGAACAAGGGAAATAACTGTGATACCTGCAATAAGCTTTCTAAATTGAAGCAAGATGTAACATATGCACAGATGGTGAGAATAGAGTACAAATGAGGTGGTGAACAAAACAGCACTAAAGCTGCCACCTGTAAAGCCCGCCTTGAGCCCCAGTACTGGCAAGGCAGTTCTGCACTCCCCAGGTCTCAAGAGGATGCTGTGGACAAAGAGGCCTGTGACAAAGACCCTTAGCATGAACAGCCTACAAAATCAAACTCACCAAGCCAGTCAGAGCTCTTTGGCTTGCAGTAAGAGCCTTCTAATGCAGATACATACAACAGAGGTCTTTGAAATGGCAAACAGCACACAGAAGGTGAAAAATGAACGCTACTCAGTGCATTTTCCAGTTTAAGAGTTGAATGGCAGGTTCAAAAACCAACAAACAAAAACCAAAAACAAAAATCACCACAATCAAACCTCAACCATATAGTTCTGCAAGCAACAAGTAAAACTACATAGCTCACTACAAGATACTGTGGATTTCAAAAGTTCACATGGAATCAAAAGAGAAGTTGGATAAACTTGTAGAGGAAAAATCCAAAGGCAGTACTGTCACCTATAGCATCTGACCAAAATTGCTGATGAGTAGAGAGTGAACTGCAGCAGGATCACTGTATGCTTGCCCTGTTCCTATGCTTTTCTAGGCATATGGGGCCAAACTCTTCTCGTTGGTGGCCAGTGACAGGACAAGGGGTAATGGGTGCAAGTTGAAACACAGGAAGTTCCATCTCCATGTGAGAAAACTTCTTTACTGTAGGGTGAGAGAATCCTGGCACAGGCTGCCCAGAGAGGCTGTGGAGTCTCCTTCTCGGGAGATCTTCCAAACCTGCCTGGATGCCACCCTGTGCCATGTGCTCTGGGTGTCCCTGCTTGAGCAAGGGGTTGGACTAGATGATCTCTAGAGGTCCCTTCCAACCTCAACCATTCTGTGATTCTGAAATTTGTTGACAGGACTTCAATCTTATCTGGTACCAATACTATGGTGTTACGTGTTTCACCAACTGAAAATTCACTGAAATTCTAAAAAGGGCAAGCTAAAACTTTTGACACTAGTCTTTCCAAAAAGTTGTTATTTACATTTGTAGGTTTAATCTGAAGATCTGAAATTGCACCAGCAAGAACAGAACTTGAACTAAGAAACCTGAAACACAAAGAAACAGAGATGCTTCTAATTATTTCAGTAGACAGTGTTCTAATATTTGGGGAGGAAGAGCATCTGAGGGAAACGTACACTGTGTTCCAGCTCTGATTTTAAGTACATTTTCCATCTGGCAAAGCCACTAATGAGAACTTTACCTGTGTTGCTGTACTCTGCACAGGCTGCTGCTGTATCATGTGTGGGGTACTTATATGGCCTGTGTTCACTCCACCTTGGATCTGGTTTGCCTGCACGACTTGACCCGGCATGCTTATTGGCGTAAGTTGCTGGACAGTTGAGGAATTTCCAGAAGCAAGCTGCACAGAACCAAAGTTGAGTCCAGAAGTTGATTGCTGCAAAAACATCTTAAAAAAATAGTAATAATAATTCTACAAGTTAAAATGTTACAAAAACACAACTGTACTTATTTTTAAACAAATCTAAAATTTAAAATGTTTCATTTTAGTTACTAGAGATGCTGTGCCTGCATTGTAACCATCCAGAGTATAAGGCCCGACTCCCTTCTTGGATCCATACTCAAACACTCTCCTGTAGCTGACAAGTTATGGTAGAGATAGAAAGAATCAGCAACCCGACTTTTAGAATCTTAAACATTGACATTTAACATTTGTTCTTAAAGAAACAGTACTATTTAGAGACCAGCTCCTTGTGTAGTCCACAGCTGTCTAAAGACACGAAGATCAGGTTTCTACCTGTAGTATCTCCAACAGTTAAACAAATTCAAATGAAGAGAACAATCTCAGAACTGACAGATCCAGGTACAAAACAGAGAATGTAACCTTCCTTGGCAAATAAGAAACCATACTGAATACACGGGCATCTCATGACCCATTTTAATAAACGCAGTTGTGCACTCAGATATTTGAGTGCTTACAAACAGTGAAGGCCAGAAAGCAAGGTGGAGTAAATATGTGCAGGAAGAGCAGCACTTCAATACTGGTCCTTAGCTTCCAGCCTTGAACAGGGTCTCTCCACAGTGCACAGGAAGAGAGTCATAAATCTCACGTTTTGAGGCACCGATAAGCAGGTCTACTGCTAGCAAGTATATACGAGACATGATAAAATATACAAAACAGCATATGCTAAAAGCTCCTACAGCACTGTTTAAGCAGTATACTTAATACTTCTGGGAAGTATTATTTTTTCTGTTCTTCATTCACAACCTATACTAAAAGTATTTAGATTCTTTCCTTATGACATACTTTGTTTCTGTGTTTAACTAGAAAAAAAAACTCAGTATGGTCATTCTTATCTTCCAAAAGTAGCTGCTGAAAGAGTGACAAAATTAGAAGAAAATATATCCATTAAAATACAGAATTCAGGCAGTCAGGTTTTTCTAGCCCTCAGCAGCTGAGCAGTGAATTCTCCCGACTTCCTGCCCTTCCACTACTTCATTCTGCTTACAAAGCAGAGCCCCTTCAGCAAGGAGGACCACCAACCTGACAACTAGGACAACCTCCTAAGAAACATGAGGGATGAGGTTGAACCCCTCAAGCTAAAGAGGGAGAAAAAGACTTTTCTGGTCAAACATTTTGAATGAATATTCCAATGGCTGCAAACCTATTCAAGACTGACAATCACTACATGCTTTTACATTTAGATTAAAGCATGAGCTAGACCTGAGACTCAACATGGAAAAGATCAACTAGGACATTTCTGGATTCAATCAGAAATGCTAAGTATCTCAGCAACCATCTTGCAGAAAACTTCAAATGTTATAGATTTTAGGTCCAGGTGGCAACTATGGAGTAAGGAGGAACACATCTGGGGATTAAACGTCAGAGTCTCATTTTAGGCCCCCTAATTCTGTGCAGATCTAACCCACAAGAGTTAAGCAACCTTACCTGGAGTCCTTGACCATGGACAATTTGAAGTTGCTCTTGAATCTTACGCAACTCTTCTTGCTGCCGATGAATATTTGCCTCTATCATGCGTGTTCTTTGCTCTAGCTGGTCCTTTAGATGCTGCATAGCCCCTAATTGAGCTGAAAACTGAAACACAGGCTGTATGTAATACCATGTATAAATTAAAAGCTGAACAAAAGAAAAATTACATTTGATTTACAAGCAGTAAATACACTCCTCCACAGTAGCAAAGAAAGCAAACATTGTTTTTTAAACTTCTCATCATATCAGGACAAATTCATTAGTATAAAAATTGCACCGAACACTTACTTAATTTATGCACTGAAATTAGGGAACTAAAAAGGTCCCCAAGAGAAGAAACAGATTAATCTCCAAGTAACTGAAATTCAATAAAAAGCCACAAGTCAGTGTAGCTGGCTAATCACAGCTACAAATCAATATAACCCGACACCTCTACCGTGCCTCAAGGATATGGAGAGGTCTTTCCTCTGTCTGATAGAGCAGTTCTTATTTCACAGAAGAAATAATTTCATAGCTGTGCTGTGCTACACATACATAGTTGTGTATGAGAAGCTATCAGTGTAGTTCGTGTATTCTAAATGCACACCCTAGAATACTTCATCTTAGAATGTTTTAACAACTATGTTCTTAATGGACAAAGCTAAAACAATTTCCACAAAATATTGGGAAGAAAAAAGAAAAAACTCCAAATTGCAAAATTAACTCATTTCATGACAACCATATTAAAGAAAATGCTTACCAAAGAATTTGGTTTTTGAAAGCAAAGTTAACCTTGTAATAAGGAACAAGATCTTTTTAAAAGCCAATCAGTTATTAAGTCCACTTAATCCATACCTGGGACATGCCGGGCTGGAGCTGTAAAGTTGTAGGCTGGGACATCATTGGCTGTGATAACGGTTGCCCAAGAGACTGGGAGCTTAAAGACTAGGATTTAAAAAAGATGTTACATTACTGGAAGAGAACGAACTTCACACTTGAAATGAAGCATTTCTTTACAGAAAATGTCATTTCCAAAATAGCATAATATGAACAGAGGATAAAAACAGGTGTTTCCTGAAATGCCTAACCCAACACATGACAGCATTAGGAACACACACACTGGTGATATTATGAGAAGCATATATCTACATGAATTCTGTACAGGGACATTCAGCATTATTTTGACAATCATTTATATGAAAATACAGAATCACCTTAAGAAGCTATGTGACAAAAAGTACAAATTCAAACTCAATCTCGCAAACCCTAATGATGAAAAATAAATATTTAATTAAAGGATAGGCTTAATTATGCTACCTCCTTAAGTTGCAAGAATTTGAAGTTATATTGATGATAATCTCAATAATCAAGCGAAAATGTTACAGTTTAAATTCTGTATTTTTCAGAAAAAATAAAATGGAGGTTATATGACTTTGTAACAGACTCTTTTAAAGGTGAATTGTACTTAGATATAAAAATATTTCTATCTAAAGTTACCTGACTACTAAGAGATGACCTTCTTTGCGCAGTCTTTTCATGAGCAGATAAGCTTTGCCTTGGAGGAGTGCTAGTGTCCACTGTCATTTTAGTTGGTGTTGCTGACATTGGTCACGGTTAAAACAAGACAGACATGTTAATATCATCATCATCATCTCCATTCTGCAATACAACACTCAAATCACATGAAGCAATTTGTAAATAAAAAGCCCGAAGGCTTTCACTTTTTATCTGAATATCTGACAGTAATGTAATCTGGTGGACTGAAATAAGATGCTCTGCAGCTACTGTTGTATGTTTAGTAGCAAAACTATACAAACTCTGAAAAAGCAAGCAGCCAGTACCTCTCTCAACTATCAGTTCAGCTGTTAAAAATGACATTTTCACTCATATTTTGAACAAAATGATAACCAACTCCAAGAAAAGTAAACAAATCAAAGTAAACCCTCACTAAGGGGCAATTATAGTTTCGACAGCTAGCACTTACATGAGTGATCTGATACTGCAGTATGTGAAGATTTCCTTGAACTCCTGGAGGAAGCAGAAGGTGTGGGGCTGTTATCAAACCTTTCCAGTGCTTCTTTGAGGCTGACTGTGTTGATGTGATTGTCAGACCCAGAGTCCTGACTCTGAAGAGACACAGACAAACTAATTATTTTACCTGGTTCAGCACACAGTGCATGTCTCTGTTAGGAAAAAACTGAGACCACGTGACCCAAGACTGTATCAACCACTTAGAAAGATAACCCTGCAGCAGTAGTACAGCCCATTGATATCTCAAAGCTTGCAATTGCCACTGTGGATCTCACCCTTGAAAAAGAAACTAGAACGAAGCCATATAAACCTAGAAACCAAGATGCACATGCCACAAACTGATTGCTGGGCTGACTTTCTGCTCTAGCAGGTCAATTCAGAATCACGAGCAACTAGCGAGCTGCTTAACTTATCTTCCCCTGAAAGAAAGAATAACTGTACAACAAGCAGCACTGCCATATGAAATTTGCTGACCTGCCAAGAAAAAGCAGAGTACCTGCACAAGCCAGCCTGTACAAGACCCCAAACGCTGCCGAGGACATTTCTTTTCAGAAAGAATTTTGCAAGCTCCTAAGAAGTGGGGAAGGGACACACAGTGGAACATCTCCTGTTTTCCTTTTGTGAATTCCTCCAATTCATCTTTATGCATTTACCTGTTTTTTTTCAGATTATGGGTGCTTACAGAATATGAGAATAATTGCATTTGAAACCAACTCTGCAGGAAGCGGATCTTAGAAGGATGTTGCCATATTATGTAACTATATGAAAATGATCAATAAAATGAAATAATTCAGGGTAGAAGTGTTAAACATCCTTCCTAGATTTCTTTGATCATTTTACACAGTAATATTAAGAGACCAAAATAGTTACATGTGTTTAAAGGACAAACACTTATTTCTTTCATATTAAAAATTACATATAAGAAAATATGCACCAGCAAGAAAAGGTAAAATAGAATTGACACACTCACTTTATCTGCTGTTATCTCTGGGAGAGATTCCTCGATGCCAAGTTCTCGCCTCCTTTCTGCTCGAACTTCTGCATAACTAAAACAGCAAACCAAGTATGAGCGCTATACCCTTCGCTGAATGAAAAAAATACACCTAAAAAGCCAAAGTCCTCAGACACAGCTGCTTACAGAATATCTCTGCAAGATTGGCAATGATTCTTTGTACCACCATGATATCTCAACCTTCCTCTCCTCCACCAAAAAGTACCAACGATACAGTCCCCATGCCTTTAGAATCTCCCTTATTAAAGAATTTCCCTGTATTTTAAAAATAACTTACCTTACAACAGTGTGTGTGCAGACAATAAACTCAGGCCGGGAATTCCACTGGTGATACGTGATATAGTAATGTGTTTGTAGCCAAATCCATTGCTGTCCCTTTGTAAGGAATCTATAGTAACATGACTTCCCTTTCCCATATTGCATTACTAAAAAGTAAAGAATAAAGTTCGCCATTTTTCTAGTCAGAAAATATTATGATTACATAATTAATATTATTTCTCAAACTCATACACCTCAAATCTATTGCCAACCTGGTACTTCGACAATGATTGGAGAAGCTTTAGGAAACTATTTTTCTACAAGGAAAAATGTGCAGCATTTACCAGAGAACTGCAAAATTCGAAGTTTGTTTAGGGGGTTTTATATGCCTTAAAGAATTTATATGCAAAAAAAAAGAAACACAGCTTTACTTTATAAAGAAATTTAGAGTTAAATAACATTTTTCTCTGTATCATGTTTAGGCATAATAAATACAATTCTTGTATTTATTAAATACCACAGAATCTTATAAATGCTTTTAGAAGACCTAGAGATGTATTAGTCAAAGTTCTGAAGTTTCCACTTCAGTTGGAAAGCGATACAGAACTGGTTCTGTAAATAAAAGGACAGGGACAATGAATGAAGGGAGGCAAAGAGAAAACTGACAGGAAGATGAATGCAGACAAACAGTGAAGGGAGTGAACTGAAAGACTGGAATCAAAAAGGAGAAAAATACTGAGAAAAAAAATAAAATTCTGAGAAAATGCTAAATTAAGAAAGAATAATAAAGTTATAAAAATGAAACTATAGTATAAAACTTTTTCACAATTTAAGTAAGATTTAGCTCAGCTGTGCATTTCAATTAGCCACAATTATGGATCTAAATTGCAAGAAAATGTTAAATCCTGCAGTGTATGTTGAATAGGAGGGCATTTTAACATGAAATATGTCACAATATTTCACTACTACAACAGCAGTACAATTTAACGAGCTTATAATTGAACATCTGAGACAAGTATGGTCTTGTAGCAACTGAATCTTACTTACAATGCTCGTGACATTTTGCCAGGTTATCTAGATCATCCACGTGATAATAATCATAGCCTGATGTTCCCAAAACTTCAAATGGAAGATAGCCTATTATTGGAGGTGCCCTAATTAACACAAAAATTAATGTCATTATTTTCAAAAACAAACAAAAAAGTTTCATCACTTAAATTCTCATTTACAGTATGAACTCTGAAAAAAATTAAAAATTCAACCCAACACAAGCTACGAGTAGTTAATGCTGATTAGTGAACTCTAAATATTACAGCCATTGCTATGATTCAGCTACTATTGCTGCTATACATAGAAGGAATTGCACCTGTGATCCAAGAATAGGAACTTCCATTCTAAGCTATGTCTAGATGTGAACTCTTCATTGGGTTCTTCAACAGTGCACATTTCCTAAAAAGTAAAAAAATAAAAATCTCTCTCAAAACTGCTCTATTCTAATTCATAAGCTCTTTTGAAATTCAGACTTACCTATTAGTTACTCCATTATAGTTATAACGTTATTTTTAGATAGCCTCATTGTTTTTGCATGTTTAGACACGTAACACTGAGGTAGAATCTAATCTCAGCTCTGCAAAGCCAACACTTGGTTGATTTTAAATGAGCGACCCTAGTGCGGGATCAAACCCAAGTCCAGCTCCTGCCACGCTGAAGCGCAAGCCCAAGTCAATGTTCTTGCAGCTAAGCTTCTACTTCCAACAAGCAAAAGCAAAGACAAAACACTCCCGGCCAGATACTGTGATTAAAGTGGTGGACAGCACTCATGAACAAGAGAACCTTTGTATTTCCACTATAAAAGTTGATCGTTGGGATATTCTGCGCGTTAACCACCTCCCACCCATCGGCGCATGTGTGGCTGGTGGACGTCAATCGATTTCTGTGGCTCCTTCAAAGAGGTCTCGATGCCCTGCCAAGCCCTGTGCCTCTTGCTGAGGCAGTGATGGAGCCAAGCACCCAAAGCCCAGCCGTTCTTCCACACCAAACCCCTCCCAACTGCGCTGCAAGAAGGAAGCGGCCTTCGTAGCGCACGCACACCCACAGGGAGAGCCCTCAAAGCACTACACACGCAACAGAAGATCCTAGGTGCTTCTTTCGGGGATGCCTGCACATGCCCATTGCACTTGCAGGAGCCTGCAAAGGCATTCCCGTTGGCAGGAAAAAGGCAGTCTCTCAGTGATCAGATACCCTACCAGGATCCTAAAGATTGCATAAGATGTGGAAGCTGCTGCTGCACGGACATAAACTCATGAAAGATGAGGATGGATGGACCACGCTGCTGCTCTGCAAATGCCTGTAACTGACAGAGTCCTGAGGAAAGGTACATTAAAACTGATGAACTATGAAAAAGAGAGCCATTTAGACATAAAGTGAAGAGACTACCCTCCTACTCACTCCTTCAGATTACAATGCAAACAGTTAAAGTAGATGTTTACCAGGACTTCTAATTTTTAACACAAATGTTCTGCTAGAATCTTTTTGCCTGGATTACTCCTTCCTTCTTGGCAGGAATCAATCCATCACCAGCTGAATTGTGAGATAAAGGCTTTAAAGAATGTTTACAGGCAAATTTTCCCCCCACGGAAGGTATCAGGCAAAACCTGCAGCACATTTTGTCACAGAAAGGACAGTGCTGGGATCATATGCAGAAGGTAAGTCTGAGCATAAACTTTCAGAGACTCCTGTGGCTGTCTGTAAAAGCACTGCATGTCCTTGTGAGGAGAAATTCCAGGTAGAAAGTTCCCTAACTTCAAGCCACCTGAAGGGTGTGGAAGGGGTGGCAGACGAGCAGACCGGCTCTACCTTCCACAAGGCGACCAAGCACCGACGCGCTCGCCTCGCTGCCGCCGCCTCCAACAGCTCTGAGCTGGGGAAGGTCCTGCCGTAACGCTGCTCGCTGCAGCCTCCTCAACAGGATCTGCAGCTATCAACAAAGTCTACAGCAAACATCGCCAAATTAAAAATCTTGCCTCTAATTTTGAAGAGTCACAAGAAGACTTCTCAGAGGAATGGCATCACTTGAAACTCTTAAGAGGGTCTTAAAAACCTATTTAACAAACTTTATTTTTAGATATTGTAGGGTCAGAAAGTTCAGGTACTGAGGAAAGAAACTTTGGCCAGAATATAATCTGTAAGGACTTTAGCCCTCAAGAGGGGGAAAGAGACCTCAAAGAATCTAAATGGATGCTCCTCACGTTCCCAAAGTTCCCAAAAGAGGTAGGATACACATAAGGTTTCCTACAATGCATCTGAAACTGTGAGACTCTCGAGACTTCAAAAAACAAAAATATTTGCAAATACTGCAGTATTTTTCTCACAAGCTTTTCATGAAACCAAAGTCATACATCTAACATCCCCATCAACTCTAGGCATAACAGGAAGAGCAGTATTTAGACCTACAGACTTCTGAGTTGAAAGAATGTTAAATGAAAAGTTTCCATGACTCCAGGGAAAATAAACCTTCTCTTCCTATATTCTGCATGACAGAACTGAGGAAGTTTATACGGCTTCCTCACAGGCTCCCACAGCACAAGGTATATGCACCGTGCCTCCCGAGGCTGCCGCCACCCAACGCGGGCTGGACACGTTCAGCTCACGCGCAGAGCGCCCAAGAGCTCAAAGAGGAGTCGTGCATGACAGGCAGCAGCAGGGCAACCATGCGCCATACATGTTTCATGGCATTTCTTTACAACCGAATTGTAACAATAAACATTAAATGCCAGACTATCTGCTCCTTAATACATTCATATATACACTCGCACTTTATTTTTTAACATATATACACACACACATACACACACCCACTTTATTTTTTAACATATATACATGCACACATACACACACACACGTGTTCACACACAAACATGCATTCCTGAATCACAGACTATCCCAAGCATTTATTTTGACTGACTTTGGGGAAGGAACACCTGGTAAATAAGTCTCGCATGTATCCGCTTCATCACTGTGCATTAGATAAGCAAGAGAGGTTCTCTATACTACTGTGTTATTCAATAACAACCAGCAGTGAAGCAAAACGAAGAGCTTTAGTACCTCAAACCTGACTCAAAGTGACAAAGCAAGCCTTCATTAAGACCTGCAAGATTTGATTCTGTGTCAAACTACAGTAAGACCATCAGCAGCATAGAAGTTCATATCCATGATTCAGTTGAAATTAGTTTTTTCCTTTAAGAGTCTAATCTCAATGTTATCTTTGTGTTTACAGTATACTCCCTGAATCTTCTTTTAAATATACTTCTTGTATATCAGAATTCTGATTGATTGTTTAGAAAAGGTGCTGACCATAAGCAACTTAATTTGATGCTTTGCATAACATTAAATCTATCCATTTGTTCATAAGAAGTGAAGGTACATTCAGTTTCATAAAATGAAATTCCTAATAGTTCATATTAATAATATTTGAAGTGTTGTGCTTGTTCACACACTTTCTCAGTTTCTCAATTCAAGTATATTTAAAAGTTACTGAAAATAGTTAGTCAAAAAGAACTGTTTTTTATATCTTGCATAAGCAGAGGGACCAAGTGAGTGATCCCATTTGCATGTACCTTGATAAACTGAGGTGTAGCTAATCGAACAGTGGCTACGAAGCAAACTTTGTCTTCATATGGAGGCCGATGCAATCGCTGAATGGTTCCTTCAAAACCGTTGTGCGCCGAGTTGGGAACTGCGGGGAGATGGAGATGAGGTCAGGACAAAGCACAAAATAAGCACGGAGGACCATGGCAGTAACAGCACTAGACAAATAACCCCATAGTTGGTGTTAGATCTAATGTAGTTTACCTACAATTTACCATGCATTAGGAAAAATGCTGCATGTAGTATCTATGCATACATACATAGCAATAGCAGCAGAATAGTAATGAGAACACAAACATCACTGAACCCCCTCTAAGGAAATTAAAACTGCACTTAACATAGACTAAAGTTACAGTCACCACAACAGTTCTGTTAAGTTAATAACTGTAATCCTTCTTGATAATTACTAAAAGTGACTGGAGCACATCTTCAAAAATGTCTTTTAAATCAGCTTTGGCTAACTTTCTCTTTTGAATTCTCCGGTAAGTATTTCTAGGCTCTTATCATACTCAAATACCAAGAGCTGAAGAAATAACCAAGTAATGGAAAAACTGAGGGCAGAGCGATTATACATATGAAAGAATCAGGACAGCAGGAGGAGAACCAACAAATTCAACCTACTGAATCACAGGGCTGGAAGGGATCCCAGGAGCGAAGGATGGATTAGAGCTCAGAGCAGATCAGCTCTATCTTTTGGTGCCAGCAGACACCTGTTCTGCACATCCTTAAGAAGCTCTAGTGATGAGGACATCAAAACTCTCTCATGCTCTTCAAACTCCAAACAGGCTCTAGTTCAACTCTGAATTAGAGCATCTACCATGTAGACTGAAGTTTCTTTATGCAATTTAAACTTACAGTTCCTCCTTGTTCTTTCTATCAGATAAAGAGCAGCAGTATTTTCCTTCCTCTACCTTATCTCTTCTCACTCCTCTGTTCTTCAGTCTCTCTTACCTTTTAAGTGAATATTTTTTAATTTATTACTACTTTCATTGCTCTTCTCTAAACTCTATCCAACTGTTTTACTTCCTTTTACTTTCTCCTGTTGTATAGTGTCAAAAGCTCTCACAGATGAGAACATACTGGTGCAAAGAAATGCAGAGGCATTATTTCACATCTTAGATCATATTTTGGAAAGCTTCTTTTCATTTGCACAACTATTTGGTAAGTATTGATTACTCATGTTCAGCCTGCATTCTATAACAATTCCTTTCTCTACAGGACTGCCACCTACGTGACTGTAAGCCTCACCCCTGCTCCGGTATATTTATTTTTTTCCTAAATGTAGTTCTTGCATCTGTTCATACTTTGCAGCTCTATTGTTTTTTGCCCCCAAAACAATTTATTTTCTAAATTTCAGATCGGATTCTTATTCTGTTCTCTAGCATTCTTACGGCTTCTTGCATCATGGCACAACGTGTGAACTACACTTAATTATCCAGAACATGACCGAAAATACTAATTAAAAGCAGAGAGTGAATACTAGTAACTTTTGTAACCAGTTCTGCAGATACACACACACACACGTATACATATACACATATGTGCCACTTTAATGGGGCTGAAATTACTTACCGTTATTTAAACACTTGAAATTTCCTATAAATTTTACATATTCATATGTAGGTTGCTCTTTTGGATCTATCGTTCCTCGCAGCATATGGCAACAGAATTCTAGTTGATTTTTTGCTGAGAAAAGAATAACCAAAATTAAAAGGCTGTGTGGCTGATGATGCACATAAGCAAAATGAAATAAAAAGCAGAAACAATTAAGTTGCATTTTTTTTTGATTGTTACAAATGTCTAAATAGCCTCTGCTTTTTACCAACTTGGTAGTAACTAACCTGAAGGAAAATTATTTTAGAATTTTTGCATGAAGGGAAAGAATGTTAATGCTGTAGAAAATTGTTATAAAAAAAAAAATCCAGACACAGCTGTCCCAAACATAACTTTGCTGCAACACACGCCAGTACCCAAGAGCCTGATATATTTTTTTTTCTCTTGACACCTGCTAGAACTTTATAAACAAGTTATACAGACAAGTATTTCTTAATATATATGAAACTCAAGGAGTGAAACAATACAGGATGAACATCTCTTCAGAGAAAGAGCACAAAATGCACATCCATTCAAGCCACATGTTTCACTCTGTAAGGTTCACTTCTTTATTTCTGCTTAAATAGTACAAGAAGAAAGTATTGATAATACGCAATACAGAGCAAATAGGCTTTAGCACTATTACTTACATTTTAAGTACTCTGGTGTCAATGAATCACTTTCCAGCAGATGAGAAGACAATATTTTATAAATTTCTGAATGCTCCCCCTCTGGGATAAAATTGAATATACTCTGATCCACAAGATCAGACTGAAATAAAAAGATATAATTACGCAAGCCATGCAATGTCACAAAGCTCACAACTTCAATGAAAAAAAAAATAAAAAAAAATAAAATGAAAAGAAAGAAAAAGACAAACACCCGCCGCACAGGTCAGATTCAGATAAACAGCTATAAAACATTACTGACCCAGAAAATTTAGCTCCTGGGATACACATGAATATTATGCATGAAGAAAAAAAAAAACTATTTTGACTTGACACTAATCACTATATCACATTAAAGTACACTGGAGTTTATATTAACCTCCACAGGATTTAGTAATTCCATGGAAAGTAGTATTTGAATAAGAAATTTCACAGTGTTGTTTGAGTGTTGGTGGTGTCCAACACACTGGAGAAATACTTCAGAACAAAATAAACAATCTATCCTGTATGCTACACAAGTTACTACGTTGCCAGTAACTACATACAATTAGAATTTATCTTCATAATAAATTTTATAATCAGTTCTGCAACTACATACACAGAACTGGCAACACAATGCCATGGACTCCACAGCAAATGTGACCTCTAAAGGGTTTTTTACATTCAGCTCTGAGTTATCTCAGTTACATTAAAGACAGATATTGACGCTGCTCATGTACTTCACAACCCTTCAGCATGTCAGCTGCAGTCTGTTTCCAAAGGAAAAGTGTAACAGAGGAGACAAACCAACAGCAAGGAATTGTCTCAAGAAGAAGGCAGCTTCAGAACCAAACGTACACGTGTGCTGTAACGCCAAGCAGACTAAAGCTCACGGGCACCCATGGCCAAATGCCACTCATTGACAAACCGATACGCTGAAGCGGTTCATACTTACTGGCAAATGTTCAAGTAAGGGAGTTACACTTTCAGACACATATATTATGCTTCCATCTGTCATAATTGCTAAAAAAAAACCATCAAGAGCCTGAAATTAAACATAATGGGCAGTTAAGTTATATTCAACACGGAAATAAATTTAGATCAACTTTAGTTTATTATAAAAATGAGAATACCTTTTGCTGTTGACACTTGAGTCTTGTTTCTAAACTAACATTATAATTTCCATTCTGTTACGTTCTTGCATGATTTCTTAAATGTTTTCAGAAGCAAAACTTTAGTCCCACACATCTCAAATATCGTTTTTCCCATGTCCCACCCTATCCATAGTTTTTAGTTCTATAATCATTTTAAATAACAGAAAAAAAAGAGGAATTATCTAAAGGCAAAGGCAAGAAGAGGATGGAAAACTAAAAGGGAAAACCAATTTCAATATTTAAGGCTTCAGTAGTCCCAATCTCACTAAAAGAAACTTACAGTAAGATTTTTATTAAAACTTAAAAATTGTAAGATCCAGTTCTCACTGCTTCATCTTCTACTTAAACCTATTTTCACCAATAACAACAGGACTATCTCATCTGAGTACTATCAGACATAAAAGCATGATAGAATCATATTTCTAAAGGGGAAATTTTAAAGCTCATGTGTCTTCAGAAGAGCATTTTTAATTTATATGACCACATTCTGACTTTATAGTCACTACCTATATGAATGTGAATTTTGTAAAATAACTTGGTGAAAAATATCAAAAGCAGCTACAAATCACCTCCTATAGCAGAAGCAATTAGCTTTTTGGCGGAGAAAAAAAAAAATCAACACAGACATTTTAAATACAGAAAATTTGGAACTTCTCACTTTCAAAATATTTGCTTCAATGAACAGGTTTAACTCTGGAATGAAAATAAAGTGTTTTTCCATTTACTTCAATATTTTTCATGTAGGTATTATTGTAAATTGTTTTAATGGTATGGTGCATATCACTTGCTCTCATTTACAAGGAATCAAGAGCTAAACCCGAAAGCTTGTTTCTAATAGTAACCCAACATGTGATGTAATCTTTAGCAAAGTAATATTCATATACTCTGCTTTCCGAAAGTGCAACATGCAAAGAAATTAAACTTTTTTTTTGTTCAGAAGTTGCAGTGGATGTGTTGAACCATTTTCATAGTTAAGATTTTCATGTAAGCCTAACAGTTTTTCATCTGACTAGTACTCTCCTTACAGTGAAAATTTAATACATCAATTTAACTGTGATGGTAAATACATATATTATTGGATTTGCTCTGTTATAACACTTCCTTGAAAATACACTTAAAAGTGCTATTACATATAACCCTGCATAAACAGAAAATCAGGTTGCTCACCTTCATGAAAGCATGCAATTACAATTAAAATATGGAAGTGAAAAGATATCTCATTAAGCAAAGATCTCAGCATTTTAATCAATCCCTCTTAGGAAATACCCTGCTTCGAGGAAAACAGAAGCAACGTACCTCTAACATTAACTGTGTGAACTCTTCATTACTAAGGAATGTTGGTTTCCAGTCCTGCCGAATTTCACTGGCATCTGATTGTGCAGTGATTTCTATAATCAAACATACAATATAACTATTAACACTGCAAAAAAAATCATTATTTTTGTATTATTTATATTTCAACCTACAAAACAGTAGGAAAAAGCAAAAAGTTTCCACGTCTTCTCCAGTTTTCACTCAGTAGGTATAATGATCCTTAAGAAGCTGCTAAGTATCCTCTCTACTATTTCATCAGGAGATTGGCCTCCTCTTCCCACCTGTCAGATTGTGACACGGTTTTATCAGATGCCAAGGTAACACTGAAGTTAATGACAGTTAGAACAGTGTGGTAAACAGTAATTTTATCAAGGCAAATAATGCATTCTTTCCTCCAAGACTATATAAAACGTTGTTGAGTTCATTAAAATAATGTTTGTTTCAAAGATTTGCAAAACAAAATGACCCGAACTCTTGAAGACCCAGTATCTTGGGCATTCTAAGCTTTATACTAAAATCCTCCCTGTCCTTCCTCTTCTTTCCATCCTTTTCTGAAATCTGTAAAGAAATAAGGTTGCGTTGTATAAAAGAAGTTTAATAAAGACCCTTAGAGAAGGACAACATGAGAGATACCCACTGTGGGACTACTGCGAGTCAGTCTGAAGGGATGCAAAGGTAAATTTTGATGTGAGCAGAGATTACTGTAGCCTCTTTACTTCTCTGAAGTGTTAACTTCCCACACATGGGTGAAAAGCAAATGCTGCTAAGCAAAACTAGGGCCCAGGTGCCCAGGCGTAGGTTCTAAAAGCTGATGCTTCTTTTTCAGACACTAACTCTACCAGTAAGAACAAAACTGTTTACCAGTGCTGTTCTGATGAGGAACAAGGTTATGATAGAAGCACTGGTTGCAATAACAACCTTGAATTGGTATCACAAACGAAACACTTACATGAAACGAGAGATGAAAAGTATATCTCAGGCTTTTGATTTTCGAAAAGAAACCTATACAAAGTGTGAAAAGGTGGCTTGTTCGTTCACGAGGCTTTTTTGGTGTTGTTTTTACCTCAGTGAGAAACAGAAGCTGCACTTGGCCAGCCAACAGCTCTGTTCCTCTGGACCTCCTGCCCACATACCAACCTTCGCTGATGCCACAGCAGTTCAGAAAAAAATATAGAAGCAACTCAGTGAACCAGACGCTGGTTGCTGAACAGGAGGACTTTCAACAGGAAAGGAGCCAGTCGCAACCAAGCAATTCCTGCTAGGGTCACTTGCTTTACCACTACAGTCCCAGGCGCCCCAGGAGGTGAAGCCAGCTCCTGTCCCAGGTGTTTCCACAGGAAACCCTGCAGAGCGATGCCAGTTGGCACAGGCCAACTTCAACAAGAACAGTAATGCAAGAGCTGCACTGGGGTATAACATATGAGGCATATAACCTCTCCTAAATGAATAAACATGCTGTTCATAAATATGCATCTATTTTAAACAGCTTTGCTTATTTTCTCACATAACCTAGTAGCTGCTCCCTTTGTTCCTATTGTTTTCCAGGTAGTATCTGTACTCAGAAATTACTTGGGGAAATAGATAAAGAGCTTGTTTTCCTGAGACAAAAAGGAATTTGGGAGCTCATTTCTGACAGTGAACTACAAAGTGTCACACAGAGAACAGAAGTTTAAGGAATAGGGATTTTACAGAAACATCAAATAGCCATAAGAAAGTGTAAGCTTGGTGCATCTGTAATAGCCATAAGAAAGTGTAAGCTTGGTGAAAGCACATTTTTTGGCAACCCAAATAACTATCTAAACAATGTAAAAACAAAATATCTTTCTTCAGAAATTCTTTAAATTTTCTGATCATTTCCTGAAACAGAGGAGTTTTTAAATGGTTAGCGTTTCTTTGTAGTAAGTGAATATCAAAAATTAAGACCATAAAAATTCTTTCTTGTTGCAAAGAATTACCTTTGTGCTTCCGTAAAAAGTCAATGCTCTTCTGCAGTACAGTGGATTTGTCCATCTTCCGGGCATTCCCTGGAAGCATGGAACCCAGCTCTTTGATAAGTACATTAAATTGATCTCTACGTTTCTTTTCAGACTTGTTTCTAGACACTCTGAAAAAGAAAAGAGAAAATGTTGTATAACAACTATGACTTCTTATAATAACTACTGCATACTACTAACAGGTTTCTAACGCAAATTACCCTTTATAATCTGCTGTGAGAATTGTTGCAAAAATAATTATTCTCAATTTATTCTTAAGCAACCATTTTTGAAAAACAACCTCTTTGTTCTGGTGGAGGGGTGCATCTGAGCCTTTAGAATGAAGTATACTTTGATTAAAAAAAAAAAAATGCATCTGAGCCTTTAGAATGAAGTATGCTTTGATTAAAAAAAAAAACTGAACTACAGTTAAAAATATAATATACACCAGAAGTATAACAGTAAAGCAAATGATGATGAATAAGATGGTTAATTATTTATTAGGCATCATATCTTTAGCCTCTCTAGAAATTTTCATTGTAATCTCAGGTGTGTGAGTACAAGTCTTTGCATTAAGTAACTTGAAAACTTACCTTTTTGCTTTATCTTTGTCATCTTCTTCCACCAGCCCATCAAAAATGCTCCCATCATTCCTGAAAAAAACCACCACCACCAGAAGGAAATAACGTCAGTGTACAACGTTTCCCCTATGCAGAGGCAATTACAATGAGGAAAAATTACTGAGAAAAGGCATCATCTTCAATACAACAAGAAACAGAAACACTTCGTTTCTTGTGTTGTCCTGCAAGGCCCATCACCAGCAGCCTGAACCCAAGTCTGCTATAAGTTCTCTTTTTTAGAATGTTTAATGAACAGACAGGAAGGGGGAAAAAAATCTGTAATTTTTGACACAAACCAGGTAATCTTCAAAACTGTGTATTTTATTGAGAACTCAAAGAATCCTATGTGAACATTTAAATACTTCAATTTTATTTTTCCATCTTCTTATGTGCATTACCTTGCCCTTTTGAAAGCATAAGAGAGGACACAAATCACTTACTATTTTTATATGCTGTGGTACTGAGAATGGAAAGCTGAGGAATATACTACACATGTATAATTACAACAAAGTAATTATAATTATTCATTATATTTGATTCCTAACCAAATATCACAAAAATTCTTCCTCAACTTAACAACTGTCCTTTCCGGCACTCCCAAAGAGGTCTTAATATATCAGACTGAGAATGTATGTTTCTTTCATCCCCTCCAGTTGCCTCAGTGTGCTTCTTGCATCACTTTTGTTTCCTTTTATTTTAAACGCCAACACAAAACCGTCCTGGTTTCTGAAACTGCTATATAATAGACTTTCGTGTTTTATTTCTCTGACTTCTTCTGTATCTGCTTCAAATCACTGCAGCATTGTCCTCCTGCTAGCTTCGTGTTCATTCTTAATTTTTCATCCTAATGTCTTCCTTTCCTTGAGGCAAATAACTGTCTTTCTACAAAGCTTACCTCATCCCTGACCTACACCTGACAAACCATCGAGCAATTGTTCATTACAATAAGCAGGAAGTAATGTTATTGCACAAACCTAAAGCTTTCAAAAGAAATTCATATATTCATAAAACCAAAATTATAGTGCAATTCAGCACATAAGGAAGTAAGAAATCAGACATGCAGTTTAAAAGTTTCACCATTCAGTTGCCTTTGTTATTTACTCAGAATGGGCTCAGCCTTCAGCAAGTTTGATGGAAACTTAATTTTTTCGAATTCTCCAAAAGGACAGTACAAGGCATATTAAGAACAGAGGCTCACCTAAGCTGCTGAAAAAGGCCAGGTCACCAAATCTAATAGAAACCAGGTCTCCAGCTATTACTTTTCCACTGAAATAGGTTATCAGGCCACTTTACTGTCATATGCAACATCACTAGTCGTTTAGAAGCATTTGTTTCCCCTAATTAAATACTAAATACTTCATTTTTAAAGTTTGCTTTTTTTTTTTTTAAACTTGAATTAAACAAATACTGTTCCATGGTTCAAAACAAGTGATGCATTTTAAGATTCATCTCAAAGAGAAAGAACCACTGCTTCCTTACCTGTCTGCAATGGAGCTCATTTTATGGGTGCTTATGGTAAAGAACATAACATATCACACTTTAGTCTTGTGGTAGACATTTGTACGTTTGCCTGTGGGAGAAGAAAAAATAGAATAAAAGCATGACTTGGAAGAAACAATCATGCTCTTCACTAGAGTGTATTAATGGCTACATTGGCTCAATAAGGTGCTCTTAACTTTCTCCCCTCTTCCAGCCATCTCTTCTGCTCTCCACCTTCTCTAAGGCAGAACTCATTAGCATCACAGTCTGAACTTGAAGTTTCACTCTACATGACAGAGTTTGAGAACATTGTTTCATTACATGCCACGATGAACGAACCTGGACTAAGTCAATACAAAACCGTCTTCTAACTCTGAATTCAGGCATAGCTTTCTGTCTTTAGTATTTGTTTTGTTGTTGTTGTTTTTTTATTAATATACAAAAAACTTGATATAATTTTGAAGGTTCAAAAGACAAAGTAACCTCCTCAGAACTAACACACTTCATTTCAAAACTATGCAAACAGAAAGCATTTGGGGAATACTATTTTACAGGTAATATTTATTTCATACGTTAGTTTTTTCTTGACCCCATTGTTTGACATGTGAAAAGCTGACACTAAGATACCTGCAAGAACGTGATCTCTATAAACTGTGCCAATGTTATAGTTCAACTAGTCATTTCTTAAAGCGGCCATTTA